TTCTAAACTAACGATACACGAAACGTTAGCTTTCAGGAGACATTACGTAGTACATCAGCGGTGCTGACATAAAGTTTGATAAAGAGGAAATGTAACATCGTCACTACAAATCAATACACGTTTCGAATGGGATTTTATTTCAGCTTAGTGCTCCAATAATAGAAAAGACAACCACATGACGCAATTATTTACGTAGGTAAATTATATTACAGCCACATTTAAAACATAATAAGTTGGTTGGCGGGCATGTTGACACAATTTCAATGTACACAATCGATTAACATGTCCAATCATTCTAAAAACATTTCGATAATTAATATTAATGTAGAGTAAAATGTTCTAATTGTGACAGCAGTAGCACGTTATTGTTTCAATGGCAAAAAATCGCCTCTATAATCTCCCCACGTACCTGATTTGTTCGCGTTTGAGTGCAAGCACGTTTATGAATAGTGTAGGTACTTTAACCTTGATACGTTATTAAAAATAGCCTTTATGATTGAGGGTGTTCACATATTAAACGTTTATGTTTGACCTACGATTACCAGAAATAGTCCTTGTTTATTTTAGCAATTGGTGCTTGCTTTTAGGTCATCTGCGGAATTTCAAGTGAATCGTAAAATAGAAAGCTTTTCAATGACGATCACATGGCATCATTACTGTCGAGTTTGGAATCCTTAAGTCTTGCTATTACGATTTCAGTTAATATTCGAAATTGATTTGAACGCACATTACGTCATTAAGAACATTAGAAATTCAAGCTATAATAGTCACGGAAACGACAACGTAATAAGAAGTCGATAGGTTTAATGCAACTTTTATTTTTGGATGACCAATAAAGGGATGCAAACGTGGTAATTTTGGCCTATGACGAACACGTGAAACATGCCGATCTCATTGCAGTGGCCACAAAAATCAAGGTTCGGCGTTCTCATTGTCATAGCAGCAATGCATTTGTCCCTTTCGTGTCGGTATCCTACGTAAAAATAGACAGGCTCAATCGAAACGTGAGCTGAAATCTTGATGCATATTTCAAGATGTTCTACGATTAATTGACGTCAGCATGGGTAGTAGACGAAGTTCAAAGTCGTCGTTAATTAAGCTTTGTCGGCCTCCACTTCTTTATTGAAACTGAATCGATGTAAGTTCCTTCAATTTAAGACACATCGATAGAAGAAGTCATATTATATGTGAAGTCTCTCAATTGTAACTACGGGGGCGTACTTTAAAGTGCACTACAAGAATCTTATCAAAGCGGCCTATATATCGTTATCGATTGTTTTTAAAAACAAACAAACAACATTGTTTTGTCTTCGGTAACATAATAATTACGAAATTGTATATTTGTGTTCTTTTTTGATAGCGCATTTCAGTTGGAGGACTGCGACCTTATAATGTATTATGAGCAAATAGTAATTGGTGTAAGTATGTAGGTATTGATTAGACAGTGCAATCATACAAATTTGCGGAATTTCTGCAATAGAACAAGTTTTATTGCAATGGAAAATCATCAGATACATCTCAATACGAAGGATTACTTTAAACTTGTCCTTAGCAATTTAAATATTTGTATAGAGTAGAGACTTAATGCTATTAATAGTATCCATTCAAATAGTCTATAAATATAAAAACGGTAGTATATCTGTCTGTGTGTCCGTGTCAGGGATTCCATAAGGGGTCGATTTATCGACCCCTGGGGGTGAAAATCTGTTTTCCAGGGATCGACATAAACGAAAATTGATTTTGGGAGTCAACGAGGTCTAAAAATCGACCACTATTAATTAACACAAATTTGTATTAGAAACTTTCAAGATATGAGTCTATGGGGGTCTGAGATATCAGTTCAGTTTGGAAAATGGGTCTCTGGCCCAAGATTGGGAATCTCTGGTCTATGCATTACTGTACAACATTCATTCGATAGCCGTTAAACTTTGGCCATAGTTCCAAATTGTTCAGACACAACCGCGCGGGAACCGCATGGAAATCACTTGGAGCTTAGGTTTAGAAATACAAAGAGGTTTGGATTACTTTAAACTTGTCATTCGTATTTCCATTGTCTTCCTACACTGTGTCCCAGATAAGGATGTCTATCATGGGGATCTTGGAAACTAAGAGAAGATACAGAGATTAGGGAGAAGTTCCGCAAGAAAACCAGAAAAACCGTAATTTGCAGATTTTGTTTTAATTTGTTCTGATGTAATTTGAGCAGATACGAAAAAAATTTAAAAAAAACACTCATTGCCAGTATATTTTTGACTGCAACGCCGTAATTCCAAGTAGAGTGTGGGTGGTGAAGCCTGCTCAGAAGAAATGGTAAGTAAAAAAGATCGCCTCTTACCACAAGAAGTGCATATCTTACACCTATCTTATCAGAAAGTAACGATAGAAGAAGATGCCATACGACTGGTGAAAGTGGGAAAAGTGATGGGTTCGGTTGGATATCTGCCAGGGGAGGTTAAATCGACTTAACTGAAGATCATACTGCTGTAGTATGATCTTTGACTGAACACAAGAAATGCATTATAATCGTTAAATAAAATATTATCATTGAGGAAGTCAAGGAACTCCCTTTACTTACTGGGGACTGGGGGCATTAGAAAAATAAGTAAAATTTCGCCCGGTTCTCAAGATTATGTGTACTATGCTTTTAACTAATGTCCATTGATAGTTATTTTGGTGGTGAGTAGTAATTTTCCCAAAAAAAGGTTAACTTATTCCTCCACATCCAATCATTGCTTGTCGGCCTACATTATTCTTTGCTATTCCCATTGGATGACATACGATCTGATTCTTCTGACCGCATATTCTTATTTACTTATCTCTTCTGGTGGAAATTTTGGAATTAAGTATTTATATTAGATAGAAAACTCGTACTTTCACACATTTTTCATTTTAAAAAATAAATGCGAATGTTGAGAGTCCAAATAGAACATTTCCGATCGCTCGATGGCTTCATGTCCATCGATTTAAAAAGAAATTTTGCAGGTGCATTCTTTATCAAATTTGTAGACAGAAGTTCGTGAATTTGCAATGTAAGCCAAAAAATAAAAAAGGCCCTTTTGACATGTCCATTAGTTATGAACCGATTTGCATGAAATTCAAACTGGGCATAGTTTTAGCAATATAATACGCATCACAACCTTTTAGCAGATTTTTGCAAATTTATTTGTACAAACTTCAAACGCGAATTGGGTATGAACGGGACGTCGGAGGTGAGCACCGACAAAGGGAATATGGTAACCCCCGACAAGATCTTATGTAATGTCACCGTTTTGGTGCTTTTGATTATTATGTACCGTCAGGGTGTCGTGTATGTTCTATTGTTAGCATATTCAAATGATGTCTTTACAAGAGCAAGTCCCGCCATGGTGCGGGTTTCCGTTAACAACCCGTTCCATTGAACCTAATGTGACCTTCGGTTCTCAAGATGTATGCAATAAAAGATGTCTGTAATGAGAGAGGTCGGCTTTTAGGCTTTTTACTGAGTCATCCATCGAAAGTAAAAAACCCCATAAACTTGATCCCTTCTAGTGAAACCTGTATTTGCATTATCGTATCTGTAGCGTCTTCTCTGTTGGTAAAAATGTGCAAAATTGCACTTTGCAAATGTGACCTTCGGTTCTCAAGATGTATGCAATAAAAGATGTCTGTAATGAGAGAGGTCGGCTTTTAGGCTTTTTACTGAGTCATCCATCGAAAGTAAAAAACCCCATAAACTTGATCCCTTCTAGTGAAACCTGTATTTGCATTATCGTATCTGTAGCGTCTTCTCTGTTGGTAAAAATGTGCAAAATTGCACTTTGCAAAATGAGTGGATTAGTACCCTTAATCCCCAAATGGACACAAACGAGCGCACATGACCGTTTTTGATCCTTTTCCATGCGTATCTCAAGGCGATAAGACGCTATTGTAACATGATTTTGTTCCTATAAACGTACCGTTATCTATATAATGCAACCAAATCATCGGCCGATAAGGAAACTTTTCATTTTGATCTGCCATGCATAAGATACTTCATCTTCACAAAGTGGACGTCCTCTACGTGTGAGAAAATGAAATTTAAGTGAACTCTTTGTTTCCCTCTTTTGGCAGACCCTACAATTAAGATGATTGTACTATTGATTTTCACAATTCAAAACCCGGGACGTATCCATTTGTATAATATATTTTAGTATCTAACTTCTGATTCACGGTTTGATATTTTACTTAGTTGAAGAGGTGCCATAAAGTACCTATTTTTTGAAGTTTTCTATGCGTGCTTTATGCAACATCACTTTTGGTTTCTACATACGAGTATAAGATCTTATTATGAACCCGTACATCCACTTCTAATATGTATTTCGTAATTTCGGTAGACAGAATGCTTCATTAAATACTGAGGTATGTAATAAACAATAAGAAAATCAATACCATCAATTGTGTAGTAGAGTAAATCAACAATTTTCACTGAGATTGGCGATTGGATTGTGATTAAGATTAAGTAGAAAGTTTTTGCTTTAATGTTACCTAAATGAGATTTTGCGTTTCTACGAAATCAAAGACCTCGTCAAAGATTTTAAGTGACATTCTGATTCCGGATTACAATTAATATTAAACCTCAAAGCAAAAGTATTTCACATGTCAACAATTCATTGCAGGTACATTTTCAGTCCATCTGTCTGTTTTATAAACAAATATTAGAAAAACTGTGTACATTTTACAACACAACCTATTAACCCATACCTGTTTATTTGGTTTAACCAGTTTTTCATTAATAAATATTACCCCATGGAGGAAGGCTGTCTTAATACTTCCAAAAATGGAATACGTTGGCAGATTACTGAACACAGATTTCTTTATTGTTATAAGGCATTGATTAAGGCAGTAGATGTATGGTTAAGCAACAATTGGGCTATTGTACACTATCAGGTTAATATTACGTCAAGCACGTAATCAAAGATAAGAAATCGAATCAATACTACAAGTTGGCTACTATGCATTAAAAAGAAAAAAATAAATTTTACCTGAATTCTGACAGTCTGTCGGTCGAGTTTAAATCTTGGCTTGGCATTTTTTCCATTGACCGCATTGGAGCCGCAATTGAAAAATAAAAACTTTATGATTTACAACCGAAATTGATGGAACGAAAACGCTCGTCGTTTAAGTTGTACGAACAGTTTTTGTGTAGTCACCGACTCGCGCTACTTTACAACATTCGTATGAGAACTGACAATGAATAAATACTGATATTGACTAAGTTAAACTTAGCTAGTACCTCGATAAAATAGCCTAACATAACGCGATTGACGTTAGCAGTGGGTATACAGCGGGTGTTTGTCCCCCGCCAATAAACCTTTTGAATGCTTCATTCTATATTAATCACCCTCCACTCATTGGAAATCTTTGTTGCGATGCTTCCACTTAATAAGAAAATCGTTACGTCTACTTCCTAATTAATTAATTCAGTTCCCCACACGAGCGCATTAGCTACTGGGAGGCTTTTGTGCATCAGTGAGTTGATGTAAATATAGATCTGTATGACTTGTCGACATTTCTAAACACCGCTCTTGCTTGAGACGTGTAAATCACCATTTTATACGATAGAAATAATTTTTCACTAATGGGAGCACGTAGAAATAACCATATAAGGAAATGACTCAACTAATTTAGGTAATGGAAATCGCATTTTCCACAATTTTGTCACTTGTCACGTACGTTCCAATAAGTTGTACTTTGTAGTGCTTGGCGGCACGTAATTAGTGTATCAAACCTTTTTTGTTTGACCAGACCACAAACTGTTAGTCAACGTCAACGTAAAGGCATTTGCAGATTTTCTGATGTTAGAAGAACACTTCAATGACACCTACCTACGTGAAATACATCAGCGATGCTATAGTTTTCCACTTCTTAAAATATAACAATAGATGATCCAATTGCAGATACAAATACAAGCTACCTTTCTTTATCTTTTAGACATAGACTCCAGCATGAATAAGAAACAACGGGCTCAATGATGAGCTTCTATTATTCATAATCGCTAGTTAATGTCTCAATCTTACCTAATCGGAATTCTACTGTTTAACTTTTATTGTTCTTTCGGCAATTTCCTTCCGCATGTGGGATAGGTACTATGTACCTACTATTTACTGCCATTGTATTGTATTATCAAGTTTCATTATTATTAATGAAAATCTTTGATAATTTCAAATTAGCGGATTTCAATTTGAGCTACATAATCCTGCACTTTTTGTGTAACTAGGGTATTTTAATTAAATTTTATAAATAATGCACTATCGTCGATCTGTTCGTCTGTTTTAATCGTAGGCCATGCTTTTCCATTACTAGATAAGCTTAGTTTGAAAGCGGAAATTTCACCTCAACCTGGAAGACAGTGATGAAGATTCGTTTGTTGTTTTCTGTTCTCTATGGCGCAAGGCGAACTAGCAGAACATGGTACTCCCTGCCACTCGTAACCATGGCTTTAATAATATACCGGGTGATTCATTAGAAGTGATGATCACTTGAATTTCGCGCGTAAGGTTTTAGTATTTTTTGCATTGTTAGATTGACGGTTTGAATTTCGTTAGTAATTTTTTTCTGTCATGACTGTCATTTAAGAAACCAGTGTCGCCGTTAATTGTTGTGTGCCATTTGCGGTTTATTACTTTTTCCATTTTGAACAATTTTTAGAGTTGATGCACTAAAATACATAAGAAACGTGACTGTGTCTAGTGTTAGTTTATAATTTATGGTAAAACACAAGCAGTATTTGTAGTTTATAAATAAGTAAACGATTTACTGAAAGCATGATGATACACCACTGCATGATACACCACTGCAATTAAATAAAAGATCATCAGTTAGTACCAACTTCATAATTTTTTTGATTTGCGGGAAATTCAAATTGTCCTCACTTCTAATGAATCACCCGGTATAACCATTCTCAAGGAAGTAAATTTCTTAGAATACATTATCGCCGGGTATATATCAATAATATTGGCGGCTTCCTTGTAGAAAAATTCGCGTCAAAAATATTTGACCCCCAAGATAACTTGGTCCATGTACAGGGTGGTTCAAATTCGTAACTCGTCATTGAGATCTCCGGACCGGTGAGAGATACAGTGTAGGTTAAATGGGGACAAAGTTGCTGCTTTTTGTGGTTAAAGAACCGCATTGAAATTTTTGAACAACCATTGAAAATAGCTGAGATATAACGGAAAAACTGAAAATGTCAAATTTCGTTTCCATTTTCCCTAGCTTAAACTTATTCTCAAAGCTCAATAACCCGGAAACGATTGACATGCAGTATGCTTCTTACAAATTTAGCTTAACATTGAGAGAAGAATTGAAATAGTGATTATACAGGGTGTAGCATTAAAAAAATGCAATTTTAGGGTACCACGCCCTGATAACCAGATCTGTATAATTATAATTAACATATAAATACTGCCTAGAAAATATTGAAGAACCCAACACTTTTGTATACAACTTTTTTCGATATCTTGTATATTTTCGCCGATAATCGACCTTTTCCAGACTTCTTATCATGGACCCTATATAATCAGTTTAATGCTACGATGTGGCTCTTGATCATTTTAAGTAATGCAAGGTGGCGGCTTTAAACATCCTAAATAAAGAAATATTAACGTGGTTTAGACCGGCAGTAAGAATCTAAGAACAAATAAAAGCAATAGGTAAGATGCAAGCATACTGATCAGTAATTCTAAATAAATGAGTGGGGAGGAAATCACCGATACTTACAAAAAACGGGAGGATCACTTGGAACGAACGAACGTTTTCACAACCACTTTGCGTATGAACGCCCGGTGTAAGCTTTTTGTTACGAAAGTTTCGTATCGAAAGTATATATGTTGGTTCTAGGAGTTGAAGAGGAGCTCATTATGCGGGTCACTCTGTAATTGAGCGCAAGTCAGTTGAGCCTGTTGATAAATAAGATAGAAGCTAAAGGTAATTGATTTAATTTCTAGAGTTGTGTTACAGCCGCCGCTATCGCAATTAAAGCTGCAATTAATCCACCGTTCTCTTTCAGATATTTCAATTGTTGCGTCCGAAGGCTCTCGTCATTTAGATGACTAATATTTTAAATTTCAGTCACGTTAAGTCATTATTAACAGATTTTATTTGCTGTGGTAAATTAAAACGTACATTAAAACTGCAAGGCGGTGCAGGTTTACGCTGTTGTTACCTAAGAAATTCCAATTAACAATAAGTGTTAATTGGACTACCGATTTTAGAAATTTCAATCCGGCCAATTAAGTAAGTGAAACAGTAGCTAAATAAATGTGTTGCAGTAAACGTCTTTCCACATAGTCGTGTGGGGGTATCAAAAGAAGTGCTATTAATTGATTTGAATTTCAATTGATTGGGTAGTCAAGTAAAAACCCATGAAATGCTGGTTTTTCATTTATCAGTTAAACTCATCTGATAGAGAACTTATAATATGTAACATAATAACATATTTTAGTAATGATAGGTATTTATTTACACTCGTCTATGGGGTACTCATTGAACAAAATAACAGACAATCAGTCCAATTCTGTAACTAACAAGTTTGCAATATTACTAACTATAGCACTGGGTCTAAAATAAACGCGTTAGGTCCAGACACCCGGACCCAAATGAAATATCGGTTTCAATTCTGTGTATATTTATGAAAAAATATTTATAACGGTTCCGGTCCACTTTCGGTTCTAAAAAAAATAGTTCTGATAAATTTTTCGGTCCATAACGGTTCTTTTCGGTTCTAGTAGAAAGTGTGGCATTCAAAAAATTCATTATAACAACCTGATATGTTTAATAGGTGTGAAAAAGAAGTAAAAAGTCACGAATACCAAAACGTGCCGTATGGTTAGTGTAGCTAATTTATAATGACAATGGGAATAGAGGAGGAAGAGGGAAATATGTATTTAAACTTAATTTATTAATAAAAAACCAGAAAAAATACACAAATACTTATGTAAAAAAATCATGTATAGAGTATTGTTTTTTATTTTTATTTTCTAAAACCTCGCCCTTCCCACAGATTAACAATTTGTGCCCCCTCCTTTTATCACAGAAGTGGCTAAATTACCGCCACCGCCACCCATACCCGTCAATTTCGACACCTTATTAAAAATTTATAATCCACCGTTGGTAATCATAGAGTAATGTTTTATCAATTTTCAGGACGTGTTTGCCGGCGCGTTAAGAACCGTAAAAAAGCGAAAATAACAACACAACAATGCTATTTTGTGAACTTATACCAGTTATATTAACTATTCATATTTATTGTGAATTAATTCAGAACTATACATAATAATAAGCTGTTAATTTAAAAATTTACCTTATCAATGGCAAATAATTGTTATCGTCTTCCACATGTACAAATTCACAGAAATCATCCATGCCCATTTCAACAAATAAGCATCAAGTTTACTTAATTTTAAATGCTAAAATGCAGATCAGTCAGATAAGTGTACTAATTGGTTCCCTTGTCCACCACTCATATATTACTAGGGTTACCCTCAACTTTACTGTGTAAGGGCACAAAAGAAATGTTTATTGAATCAGAAAGTTGAGGATGAGTGTCACTTTAAGTGCGAGTGCGCCTCTGAATTTGCCTTTTAATATGTCGAACTGAGAAACTTTTATATCAGTTTTTTTATTTTTGTAGTTTACTTGTTTTTTTTTGTATCAACGCTTTTCTTTTACTAGTGACAATTCTGCCTCTATTTTATATCTCCTGGCTGTAGTGTGGTATGGAATTATGTTAACCAATCTTACTCAAATTGTTGCAGACGTTTGTATGAGAGGAATTGGTAACCCTAACTGCAGAATATCTGTGTATTTCATGCAAATCACAATATTGTTCAAAAGGGGACGTTTTAAATTATCGACATGATAAAGAGCTGTAAACTTTGAACGATTTCCGAATTCCTACTTTTCTTGCCAACTTCAGGGACCTCTCATATTTACCTAACCAAAAGGTGAAGAAATCTCCATGAAGTCTTCAACTAAATCTTGAGTGATCCCATCTACCACTAGAAGGGAGATACTAAGTATTCATAAAAGCAATATTATCAACGCGCCATTTACATCAACTATTTTTAGTCGGAACACTTAATCAATTGTTTCTAAGGTGAACAGGACCACTCAAGACGTTATCTAAAATATTGTCCTCCGTCAAATTCGTCAGAAGTAAGTGAATGACGCGATTTGTTACCTTGATACAATCTACGAGATTACCAATAAATGATTTAAGTGGTCTACCGGTAATATTGTATTTGTCGAGTATTTGACGTAAAGGAAAACTTTAAGCATTACCCACTTATCGATCAGTGCCAATATTTCAACATCTA